ATTGTCAAAAATGGAAAAGGAAAAATATTAGCACCGGCATCGGCGTCATTATCAGTATCGCTAATAGTATTAGCATTAACATTAGCATTAGTATTTGTATTAGTATTAGTATTAGTACTAGTATTAACATCAGCATCAGTATCAGTATCAGTATTGCTAATAGCATTAGTGTTAGTATTAATATTAGCATCAGCATTAGCATTAGTATTAGTGTTGGTGTTAGTGTTGGTGTGAGTGTTAGCATCAGCATCAGTATTAGTATCAGTTCCCTCCTTTCAAGCTGTTAAATAAGTCAGTTTAGTTTTCACTTGCTCATATTAACAATCAAGTGTTTCCGTTAGGTTAAAGTTGGCGATAAAGAATGTGATGTGATGAGCGGCTTTAAAATGTACATCACCACAAAGCTGGGAAATCCTTCCTACACACCTGAGGTTAGAGACGTTGTTACCATCTTCGAGTATCTTCTGTATTGTGTTTTTAAAAAAACTGAGTTAAAGGATTGTGTAGCCGCTGCTTTGCGCAGGAAGTGTCGCTTTCCCACCGCTAAGCGAAAATGGCAACAGCTGTAGCATTTGCATTCCAATTCTCTTAAATCATATGTGGGAAAGTTTGCGAATATTAACAGTTTGCTATCCGATCATACATAGTGGATTTCATAATCTTAACCTGTGTAATTGCACGGTTTTTTGGCTGTTTAGGTGAGCGCTCGCACAGCAATTATTGACTTCACTGTGACGATGAAAGGACTGGAAGAACAACTTCTTGGAAGAGTGATTAACACCGAAAAAGAGGTGAACCTTTGTTATTCTTTACCCTGCGTAAACCTAAGATTCGAGATGTCATATCATCCAAAGGAAGTGTTACGTTTTCATTTTAACTTAGACGCCATGTTTTACAGGAGCTAGAAGCAGAACGGGTGAAACTCATGGAAGATGTAACAACAAATAAAAGAAAGATGAAGGAACTTGAAGATAATCTATTGTACAGGCTCACAAGTACCCAGGTGAATTTAGCTTTTAGACTGGTAAAACGATAATAGTTTTCTTGTAGTTGTGGAAAAGGTTAAGGCTGGTTGTTCCAATGAAAAGCACCAGCACCTAACCTCCTTCTGGGTCTGAGAAAACCGTTTATTGTATCAGTGTGCGACTCGTACATCTACTAGCAGATTTATTGCTGGACCTCAAGCGTGACTTATATTCCCTAAGAAAACGAAAACTATCTTTTCTTTGTAAATGATAGAAAATAAATAGGAATTAAAAAAGTCCAAGAATGGACGATCATCCCCAGTTTGGTAGATGTAGCGAAGATAACGCAACGTCAAACGAGAACGCGAAGGCGCGCGAAGAAGGACTGAACGCGACCTCTGGTACCTAAATGCAGCTCTAATTAGTCAAGTCGGTTTTTACTTTTGCACGCGCCGTCGTCACTGTCTTCTCTTTGTCTTTTCTTAATCTCCTTAGTAGATGAGATACGACTTGACTGAATTACTCCGAATTGTAACCAAGGTCTATAAACACGACTTTTCTCAGCGGTCGGTTACATAATCCAACTGTTCTTGCAATAACAAGAGAGGCTACTTGCAATACTCTCTACCATATTCAAGATTTGGGTAGTCTAATCTGTTCATTGCTTGGTCTTGACTTGTCATGGCTATTCTATGCCACCCACGTGGGCCATTTAACCGCTTGCTACGGGGCGGGGCGCGTGCCTTAAACCTTATTTTCATCTTATTCAGGGTTCCCTAGTAGAGGATGAGTTGTTGCTGCTGAGACTGAAGTGAAGATCAACTTGGCTCGTGAGGAGTTCCGCCCTGTTGCCACGCGCGGCTCCATTTTGTACTTCTTAATCGTCGAGATGAGCATGGTGAATGTCATGTATCAGACGTCACTTAGACAGTTCTTGGGGATCTTCGATCAGTCCATGGCAAGGTAGTAGCACTGAGAAGTCAATTAATTCTTAACTAGTTCATTCTTCTGACGTCAGACAAATAACTATGGAGAGCGTTTTTTTGATGCGCAATTTGTTCTCTTGCAAGAGACTGGAGGAAAAGCACTCTTTTTTTAAACACATTTCAGTATCTTTTTCTATAGATCGATGCAAGACTTTCCACTTACCCATTCCCTGACTCAACGTTTTAATAGCATCTTACGTAGGGTCAGAATGTTGGTTTTGCGAAGGGGAAGGTGGGCAGAAGATTCTGGGAATTGAAACTGACCTCTTACCCCTCCCCTATTAGTGTTAACATTGACTAAGGGGCGGGTAGGTGGAAGGTCTAGCATCGAGCCCTGCCCTGTGTTAAACCTATGGCCGAAGGAGACAACTCAAAGCAAAATAATAACCTCCAAATCGGTAGACTTAAGGGTTGGCTGAGGCAGGCTTTGTTAAACTTAACGACCAGATTAAAAAATCGCCACATTTGTCCGTAAATATTCAGCCCTTATCATTCTGCTCCAACTAAGTATCGTGGAATGGTATTATTGAATTTTTTTTTGTCAACAGATCTGAGAAATCACCCATTCCAGCGAAAAGGATCCAAAACATCATTGAGTTTCTCACCTATGAGGTCTTCAAGTATTCGTGCCGTGGTCTGTATGAGAACCACAAGTTCTTATTTACTCTCCTTCTGGCGCTCAAGATCGACATTCAGGGCGGAAAAGTCAAGGTTCAAGAATTTCAGACGCTAATAAAAGGTTTGCAACATCATGGTTTTTACTCCTGCGCGAATCAGTCAAAAACAAGAGGAAGCAGCTAAAATTTCTTTCTGAAGACCAAGAGTAGAGGACAACACGTAGTTCAGCTATTTAGAATATATCTTCACATATCTGGCGCATAATACGATACACATCACTTGAATCTTCTTTAAGACTTACCACACGTAACCAATTGCTTCAAACGCCTGAATGCACAAGAAAAAATATTGACGTTTCAATTATTTTACGTCACAAAGACCTTTGACACGCAAGCGCGAGCGACAGAACACTCGCGCGAAAAGCGCGAGATAGTTGCATAACGTACTTGAGTTCCAAACTTCTAGTTGAAAGGGCGCTTTTACAGCCGATTACGAATATGTTTGTATACGTTGATTAGAAGGCGGTGTTATGGCCGACGTTTTAAAATATATATATTCACTTAAGCTGATGTAACGGGGTATGAAGTGCCAGAGAACTTCACACGATCAGTTCTACCATGCGCGCGCTTGTTTCCTCATTATTTTGCGTTCAAAATGTAGCCGCGTGTAGCACCGTTTAGCCTCGTCCTACCGGGAGATTGTTAAGGCAGTTATTAGGGAGTTTAAGCAACGACTTTTTTTTGAGCGACACACGTCAAACGGAAGTGGAATTTTTTAACTCTTAGGCTGTGATTTTGAACAAATTATTGGGCAAATTGTCTCCATAAGAATTAAAAAACTTAGCAATACAAATTTGGTAGCGTCAAGGCATATTAAAAGAGAAAAATGCTTACTTCTGGTCGGCGTGCGTCGCTCAAAAACGTCGCTGCTTAAACTCCCTATTATCCTATAAAAGAAATGCATACTGCATGTTTTAAATAATGACATCATGTGCCTCTCTGTGAAGGTGGCGCGGCGCTTGATCTGAAGGCCGTGCAACCCAAACCCGGCAAGTGGATCATGGATATGACATGGCTTAACTTAGTGGAGCTAAGCAAGTTGCCGCAGTTCTCAGGAATATTAGATCAGGTTTGTCAGTGAAACACCAATAGGCAGCTATAACAGCAGATTTACGACCAACTTGTCCATTGCCCAGCTAGGTAAATTGTTGGAACATATAACTTGCTATTAAATCAGTTTTTTTAGTATTGAAGTGCCTTGGAGCATGAGCAGCCATAGTTACTGATGTACCAATGTTTAGGTAGCTTTGTAGGCAGACTGGAATCTGTTAGAAGCGTCTCGCAGCTCTGACAAGACCTTTCACGATTGTTTGGGGAACTTGTGAACGAACAAAGTTAACAATGGAACTTGGCCCCAAAACAAAAGAGCTGCGACTTAATTATAAGGGTCCAATGAAGTTAGAGGATCTAAAGATGTGCGAGGCAAACGCTCTGTTAGGCAGGCATTCAAAGAAGGAGAAAACCATAGGTCTCCTTCCTTTTCTAATCAACTCCCGCCAAAAAGACAAATAAAGGTGTCGCTGGATTCCTTTTACTAAAACAGTTCGATCCACCCAAAGGTTCGTCGCAATGAGTCTGGTTGGAAACAGTGGTTTGACCAAGATGCACCTGAGGAAAGCCACATGCCTGATGGTTACGAAAGCTCGTTGGACACCTTCAGGAAACTTCTTTTAGTCAGGTTTGTGTTTATTGTTTTTTATTTTTAATAATATGTTGTTAACACGAATTTACCTTTTACTTGTTATTATAGAAACGTACTTTCAAGGGCTAGTTTAGAAGAGGCAAGGTCACGGCTCTATAGGCAACTTCGAATTCATACCGAACGATCACAAAATTAAATGAAATCTCAAAAAAAAGAAAAAAAATTGAAATTGTAATTTGTTTACCCACGGAGCGCTTAGGAGTTTTTAACAACTCGTTGAAACGTGTCCGTGCGTTCCAGATCGAATTGGAATTTGGAAGTGTTGGTTTTTAAGAAGAGGGGAAATCGGAGTACCCGGATTAAAACCTCTCAGAGCAAAGGAGAGAACCAACAACAAACTCACGTAAAGCGTCGACGCCAGGATTCGAACCCGAGCCACACTGGTAGAAGGCGATTGCTCTCACAACTGCGCCTCCCTAGCTCTCCCCAGCTTCCTCAAACACGAGGAATAAAATAGTGGCGCAATATTGGAGTCAACTAATTTTTCTATAATCTAGACTATGATATACGAAATGCCGTGAACTGTCCTTATTTTGCACGGAAACCCAAATCCATAAGGAATGTGAGTGTTGTAACGGAGGATCTCCTACTGAGGAATGTGATCACCCCTAACCTTCCCTGAGAGAGTCCGGCAGGGTTGATAGAGAGCCCTCGCTGATTGCATGATTGATTAATTGTGTGATTTATTTAATAACTGACAGATTGATCGATCGATTGATTGACTGATTCCTTTTTTGATTGAAATACTACACAGGTCTTGGTGTCCTGACCGTACCCTGCACCAGGCTCGTAAATACATAGCAGACACCATGGGTGAGAGGTATGCTGAAGGAGTGATCCTTAACCTGGAAGCTACCTGGGAAGAGAGCAATCCAAGGACGCCACTCATATGCTTTCTGTCCATGGGCTCTGATCCTACTGGAGCTATTGAGAACCTTGCTAAACGAAAGGGAATTGGTACGTACGGAGAAAATGTAACTTTAGGCCGATTTGCTTGCTTCTTCAGGTTTTTGATTTAAATATTTGATTTCGGGTCCAAAAAGTTACCGGGACGTTCGAGAAACGAACCCCGGCTTATTACGGTTGACCTTTGGGCTTGTGGTCTATGTATTTGTTATCTTGAACTTTTTCCCCTTAAACTAGTGTATCTGTGGAGTCTGTGGAAGTAACAAACGGAGAAATAGAGACATACTAGTAAAAGCTAATAGAGAGAGAGAGAGAAACAACGCCCACACCTCTTAACGTCAAGTTAATTCTAGTAAAAATTTTACTTTACCCTTGAGGGAGGTTTTTCTCGCTTATCTTTGTGAAGGTAGATATCGATTAACGATCTACAATAGTAAGAACAAAAAAAACTGAAGGTGTCTCTGTTTGCCTATTCAGTGTGGCCGGCGTTCATTTGCATCAGAAGCATTATGTGCTTCTGTTTGCACTCATTATTCCTCCAGGGCTAAGGGACTGTCCACACGTGGTGACTGGATACCGGCACAAAATGGTGTTGTGGTCATACCTTAAGTACCCGATATGTGACTGTACGCATAGTTTTTCCATTTCGCCCTGTCGGACACCATTTAATTTGAAACATGAGCTTAGCAGCAAGAAAAACGCATTGGACTGCCCGGAACTTACAAAAATTGTGTGCACACAGGGACCGCCTCACCCGGTGCCCACTTTTATACTCGAGCACAAGGTCGAGACCTTGTACCCGGGTACCGGCACAGTTCCCGTGTTCTAGCGTGGGTACTTGAAAAAAGGGTATGGTCACATTAGTGCCCAGCGACTGCTGTATTAGGGCACCAAGTGTAAACGCTGCCTGTAATTTGTTTCAGAATGCCGAGCAGTATCAATGGGACAAGGACAGGAAGTGCACGCAAGGAGACTTCTTCAACAGTCTATGGCTGCGGTACGTTGTTATAGTTAATATCAATTTGATATTTTGCTTACAAACACAACGTAACAAAATCTGGGAGATCGACCTGTCGGGCTGAGGCATTTTCATCGGAGCTTTCCCATTGAGGAGGTAATCCTAAATATCCCAGATTCCTTAAGAGAAATATTTTTTATCTTTTAAGCCCAGCTACTCAAAGCACTGCCCCGCTTCAGGCGAGCTGATTTATTCTTTCCGCGCGCTTTCCCGTCGTCAACTGACGTTCCGGTTCTATTGCTAAATCAGTCTAATAACTGCACAGACTTGTGTTTTGTATCAACAGGGGGGATGGGTACTACTTCAGAACTGCCACTTGGGATTAAACTTTATGGACGAGCTTCTGGAGACAGTTACTACTGCAGAGTCATCACATGAAGGCTGTAGAGTCTGGATCACTACTGAAGTACACAATCAGTTTCCCATCAGCTTATTACAGGTACGCTCAGTGAAACAAGCTTAAACATTCAGTTATCAGTTCTCTAAGATACTTGAGTAAATTTGTATGGTGGCTTTCTGTTTTTGTTTGTTTGCCGGCACTACAGTGAAACCTGTAGTGTGACGATTCCTGGAACGCGCATAGTAGCGTTGTCCGCTGAATACAGGTTCATTTGACAGAAAATCTGGTGTCCAGTTAATACAGGAAGTTCTTTCATGCGAAGTTTGGTAAACACTGACACTGCATAGACGTCCCTCTACAGCAACTCAAGACCTGATGCTGTTTTATTAGTTGCACCCTGTAATGTATTGTTTGTCGTTTTATGTAAAGGCCAGACTCAAAATATTAATGTTACAAAGACAATTCCGTTTGTAACAACTTAAACCTAAGTGCAACGCTTAATCATATAGGCCCCTCTTAATAGATATCCTTGAACTCTACTCAGAAGAGATGATCTCACATTTTATCTGTACATTGTGTACACTAGCCCTCCACCAAGCACAGCAATGAGCCACCACAGCGCGTGAAGCCAGGGCTCGGACAATTAACCTACTTGTTTCCAGACGAATGTTTTAAGTAGGAACGACAGGGCAACCCTTGATCTTATAGGCCCGCCTTACTAGATATTCTTAGACTGAAATTAGAGGAAATGATCTCACCAAGTTATTTGTACATTGTGTTCACTAGTCTTCCATCAAGTTCACCAATGAGCCGCCACAGGGCGTGAAGCCAGGACTGAAAAGAACCTACGCTGGTATCACCCAGGATCAGCTGGACATTACTAACATGCCACAGTGGAAACCTACT